TGTAATTAAGAGGTTGGGTCCTCTTACCTATTTGGTGCGTGTTGCGGGAGACATACGCTATTGTCATGCCGACCATCTGTTGACTAGTGTTCCTGTCAATGACATAGGCCTAAGTGGGTATACTTCAAGGGAAGTTCATAAGAAGCAGCGGGATCCACATGTGGTAACACACCCCGAGCCTTTGCCAACGCAAAGTTCCACACTCTCTGAAACTCCAGTGAGTGAACCGTTTGACAAAGGTCAAATAGTCCTACCAGCTCAAAAATCCCTATTGCGAAGATCCTCACGAATAGTTAAGGCCCAGACTGTCTGAAAGTTAGTTGTGGGAGAGTGTAGTGTACTGCACTCTCAATCAATTCCTAATGACAACATTACTCTAAAAACACTGATTACTTATTTTTTGTATGATATATAGGTCAAATGTTATACCAATAATCAATTTTCATTGAACATGCAATATGGCCGCCAAATGTATTGCTAAGTCAATGATTTGTATTTAGAATATAAAACAATGCTTACTGTATACATTTGATTTTATGTGATTTTTAGTTAATAAATTACGGTATACAAATTAATGATTTAAAAAAAAATCCGCGATGGCCACCAAAATGGCCGCCAAATGTATTGGGAAGTCAAGGTTTTGTATTGAGAACTTAAAAACTGCTTACTATATACATTTAGAGGTTAATGTGATTTTATATGATTTTCAGTTAATAAATTATGCAAATAATTGATTTTCATTAAAAATCCAAGATGGCCGCCAAAATGGCGCCAAACGACCCCATGGGACAATTTTTTTCGATGGGAACATCAAAATTCGTTCATCAGATACTTTGAGGATTACAAAAATGTTAGTTAAAAAAATATATCCTGGGGGTGCATGGGAACCCCCCGTTCCTACTAGACTAATATTTCCTTGTTCTGATCTTTACATGATGAATAAAGGTTATTTGATTTTATTTTATATGATTTTTGTTTTGATATTTTAAGATTAATATCCACGTTGTAACTCAGCTCGAATAGACACCGATACTGAATATGTGATTTTTTTTAATCATCATCATTATTCACATGGGCGGCGCCAGCGGGGGCCGTGGGGAGGGGGGCAGGGCTTCCCTTGGGGAGAGCACCACGTCTGGGAGAAAACCACAATTCGTCGGGGAGAAATAACTGTATATGTATTTTCTGCATTAGTAAACTCTAAAATCGATTAAACACCGCCCGACCACGCCCACTTTTTTTCAAAAATACAATTGCAAGTATTATTATCGGTTATTAAACAAGGCTTTACAACTGCAAACACTTTAATATTAATTATTATGATCTATCTAATATAAATGACATCAATCCCCCTGTATTCTATCATGTGCGCGTTACGTGATAACAAGCATGTACATATAAGTACTTTCCTATACTTTGGAATAAACAGAGGGCGCTAAATTAAAGATTTACGACTACTCGTCTAGAAAAGCTACCTCAAAATCTAGGTCAACCTTTTGGGTCTGGCTGCTCACATCACGTTCAGCAAGTTTTGATTCGGCTGTTAACGCTGCATCTGAAATTGTAATTTTCATCCATAAGTACGTATGCCAAATTACTTGTTATCTTTAGTTAGTGATATATCAATTTTTAAATAGACTACTCAGCTGTTTTAAGATTGTAATTTAATTTCTAAGCGTATTATATTTGGAAGATATTTCAAAACGCCGGTAGGGCCTATGTATGTATGCAGTTTGGATGAGCTGATGTCGTGGACGACATCACATGCACAGTACCGATACACACAATGGCTTGCATTCCTTTGGCTCGCTTTGATTTGAATGCTGATAATCTAAAATTATTTAGTTTTAAACATCTAATAATCATCTAAGGTTACTGCATGCAGTGAGTAACAAAATGATAACTTAAATCATGGGCATAATATAAAGTTAATGTCATTTGTATCGATGATTAGCAAGACTTCCAAATTATCCTTTGTAAATCCAGGCCCTGTCTGGGCTAGGCCTAGCAGCATACACTCTTGTTTGGCTAGAGTCTAGGCTTAGGCCTAGGTAGGCTTTTTAATATTCTAGGTGGGTGTTGGCTATTGCTTCCTGTTGTCGTGTAGGGAGAGATAGCATGAACCTTACTCTTCTATCATCCACACTGTCGCAATATTGGTCATATCAACATAATATAAAAAAAAGCAGACGTATATCATTGCATTATCTATAGCTCAAAAAACTCAACCTAGCATTGGTAAAACACTCCAAAAACAAATTATAGCACCGTTATATGCTATAGCAGATTGTCTGATAATTAATTGTGCTACTTATTGATATTGATATTGGTCTGATGTAGCTGGTTGTAGCAGTCGTCCAGCTTCAACAAGCAGGCTACCATCATCCAATTTACAAAATTCCTGACCTGTATTTATACAGGAAGCCTCTGGGCCCTGCCTCTAAATCCCAGGTGTTACACCACTGACATTACTGTAAATTTTGGGTCAGCAATTAAATCCTGATGGAACAATACATTTTTCTTGAAATAACAGTATTGCCATTAATTTAGTTGACCTTCATCAATACTAATTATACCAGCGAATCAGCCTCTTGTTTATTTTGTTTTAGTACAATTTAGTTTGATTAACAAATTGTTGCATTTCTCTTTAGAAATCAAATCTCCAGATCAAAATGGTTATCAAAGTCGGAATCAATGGGTAAGTGCTTTCCTACAATCAAAAGGTATTTTATAGGCAGTGGCTAAATGTCACACCATGTCCTAATGCCCTGGTTCTTAATTTATTTGAAGGGCAAATTATTTTGGCCCGTGAGTTGGTCTCAGAAGCTAAAGATAATCTCTGAGTTTCAAGCAAAAAAATTCTCAGATATGCTGTGGCCGAAGCCCTCTGTTGGCCCCATAGGCCTTTGAAGTTTTTTGGCAATTTTAAATTCTATTCTATTTTTAAATGTACTACAGTATAAGGACACTAAATTCATTACAATTATTGTACCATTTAAGATTGATTTAATATTTTGCCAAAAGAAGATTTAAAACACTAAATTTTTCACTATTTCTATGATCTTTTATTTCTTGCTTGTGTAAAATCATCACAGAACAAAATTGGTGTCGCCAATATTTGCCCAACTACGGGGGGAGGGACGATGTTCTCTGAAGGGCTCCAGAGGGCAAAGCCCCCGGAAGCTCTAACAACTATAGTGAATTTTAAGGCCCGTAAACGATTTTGCAGCCTCAATGATTTTTCACTCTAACAAATGTGTTGAATTTTCCTTTGAGGGAGCTCTGTCTGACAGTGGTCCTACCTCCACAATTGGCACCACCACTAAATTTAAATTCTTGCAAAATTAGAGTTTGTTGGGAGGCTACTTCGACGGTTGTAAGTAGTGAAACCCATAATTTGTGAATATTCTATTTAAATTTCCATTCAATTTGGTGTTGTTAGGCCCAGGTATTCAAACCGTGGGTCACGACCAAAGTAATTAGTGTCATGTCATGTCTTGCTTTCTCTGTGCAAATGTAACTGTATGCGAAGTATACTTTCCTGAATTGGGCTTTTTTCCATGAAGTAAAACTAGATATTTTTTTTTTCTATCACATTGACCTTGATTCTTATGTTTGCTTCTCATGGAGGAACTCCCAAGTTTATGCCTATGCCAAATATAGTTACCTGCTCGGGCATCCATACTTTGACAGCTCAAACTTTCTTTTGGCGCAGGCAGTTGGGCAAGACCAGGACTAATCCTGCAGGAGTATTCTCAAGCAAAAAATTAAGTTACAGGCCAAACCAAAACAGTTTTTTAATTTTTTATTAGTCATACAAGGTTTGTGGCACAAAATTGGTATTTTCTGTGGAAGTTTACCCATCCTATATCCACCAAATACCAGGGCTTTAAAGCCTAACAACACTTGGCCTGTAAAATCTCAGGTCTACTCATAATAATATCGCTATGATAAAGTTTTAATTTTTAATCTACTTTTGTCCTATTTAGCTGAAGACTACCATTCTTTTGGCGTTTGTTGATTGGTTGGTAACAGATTTAAATCTGGATCTGAGTGGGGTCAAACCTACTTCACATTGGCAAAGGGTTCTGTTTTGGCCTTCACTTTATTTTTTAAAAAATTCATCGAATTTTTATTACTTTTAGTTTCTTTAAATATTTTATTTTTATATTTTAGTTTTTCTTGCGGGCCAGAATAATTGGTTTTGCGGGCCAAATATGATAACCTTTTAGATACAGTATGATGGACATTTAATTTGTGTGTAATTTGTTTGCCAAAATTGATAGTCGTACATGTTTTGGACTACATGTTTCATATTAAGAAATTTTAATATATTGCATGATGATTTCCCAGGCAATAGCTTATGAGGTCCAGGTGCCCAGTCTACTTTGTAATTTGGTTATAGGCATTCATGTACGTATGCACAAAAGAAAACAAGAACTACATGGGTGACCCCGCATTAGTGTAGTGGTGTTGTTGAAAAATGGAATGCCTGGGAAAACCAGGAAAAGGATGGAAGTGAAGTACTGTAGATAAGGTGAATGGAAGAAGAGGAGATAGGGAAGGAATAAATTAAAGATATAAAGGCAGAATAATTAGAGGAAGATTACAGGTAGTAAATAAAGAAGATGGAAAAAGTGTAGAAGATGGAAATGAAGAAAATTTGGAAGCAGATGGGGAAAGATGATGGTGAGAAAAGAGGAAGATGGGAAAGGAGAAAAAGAGAAGCTTGAAGATGGAAGGTTAAAGTGATGGAATAAAAAAGGATTAAGTATTAGAGGAGAGTACTGTATACAAGAGAAGGAGGGGAATGGAGTTGAAGGGAAGAAACTGAAAGAAATGAATTGGAGAAGACAATGAACATTGTCAAAATTCCAGTAACCAAATAGATGGATTTCTTTGAAATTGTGAGAATTTAACCCAGATTAGCTATCAAAAGATTAACAAATATTCCAAGGTCTACTTTTATTTTGATAGCCAATGAAGCATGGTAGTGATTACATTTTTGTGCAGTTGCAGTTGCACAGTATATTGTAGGTCACCATAACAATTTGAATTTGTAGATCATGCAAAATATGTACCTGTAATTGTTAACATGGCCCAATTTGACTGATAAACTTGCACAAATTATAAAATCATTGTCATAACGTATTTTGTACTATTTTCTTTCTCTATGGTCATAACTCCCACATCCATTAATGGGGGTAAAAATTCTGTACTGTACAATACCTGTCTTTAAGAAATTTTAAATCTGTCATAACATTTAGGACATTATAATAATATTATCTTGAGAAAATGAATTACAGTAAAAACGTCCATTTTACGTACCCCTTGGTACCAAGGGGTGTTTGTAAATTGAAAAATTTCTGTGTCAGTTTCCAATACCTAGGCCTAGCTATCCCTTGCCATTGAGCGCCGATAGGCTGACGGCGGCCTGGCCTAGCACGAACCGACAGTACAGCAGTGTGGTCTACCGCGCTAGTATAACTGAATTTACCTTCGAAAAAACCAAATTATCCTAATCTCTGGCATTCTTCCACTAACAAAATATTATTTTAACTCTTATTCAAACATCTGTATGTTTTATGGCCCTTTCTATCGTGTTCATTCTAGTTGTAAGGTCGCCGAATTGTGTTGTTTACATGCATTTCGCAATCATATTTAGCATTCACGATGTCAAAAAGTTTCAAACCCCAACACTCGTGTTTGTCATTGTAAACATGTGCGCCCAATCCAACGACACTTGCGTTTGTAGTTCGTTGTTCTGGTTAGGTTTATTACATTAATATAGTGATTGAAAAATGGAAGAAAAGTTCAAACTATTAATAAATAAATAAATACAACAAATTTGATTTTATTAAGAAAAAAATATACATTATATAATTGGTCGGTAATAACTAGTCGATCATGACATCATCAGGGGCAAAGACCGTTCGTAAACTCAACCATTTGTAAAATCGACGTTCGTAAAATTGACTTTTTACTGTAACTATTTGCTCATGTTACAAGGAAGGTTGGTTTTAACCTGAATCCCTACACTATAATGTATACACCAACATTTCTTGCACATATATTTAAATATTACTAGTAATTGTTTATTGTGAAGTTAACATAAATATTGGCAATATTGTTTGTTTTTTAAATTTTAATATTGAAATCGTTAAAAACTCTTCCAACAGATTTGGCCGTATTGGACGCCTCGTACTGAGGGCTGCTATTGAGAACAATGGTGTCATCCCAAACAGTGGGTTAGAGGTCGTCGCTATCAATGACCCCTTCATCCAGCTTGAATATATGGTAAGGATAAAATATTACATTTAAATTTGCTCTCCTATTGCTACATGAGAATTGATTTTTCTGCTTTAACCTGCCCCTTGGATATCGTTGCTAAGGTTCCACAAACGACAGTTTAAATTCATGTAAATATGTGCATGTTTGGGACAACACGTGTTTGTGAGAGACGGGCGTGTTATTTTTTGGACTGTTCTGATTGGTTATTTGTTAAGTTTAATTGACACTCCAGAAGGTCCGTTGTGCACATAGTAATGTGCAACCAATGAGAAGTATTATTATTATATTATTAGAAAACTTGCACCTGCCACTACATGTGAATTGTGTGGATATATTTGGAATATGCAATCAATTGGTCACATGTGAAATGTGTCCATTTAGAGAGATCTCAAATTTTCAACTGCTACTACATGTTAAATCAGGCCTGATGTTAATTATGTGTAGCACAGTATATGCTCACACCCCATCTGCTACATTTTGAATTGTGTGCTTAAAGAATATCCTCGGGAGCTTTGACGGTGCTGCTACATGTGAATTGTTTGGTCTGTGCAATCAATTGCTCACACCCGTTCTACTACTGTATATTTAAATTGTGAAGATAATTTCCAGTAGATAGAAGCTGCTGCTGCATGCAAATTGTTTGCATATTAGGAATTTGTATATGCATTCAATTTCCCACGCCCCCATCTGCTACATTTAAGTTGTGTGCATAAGCATGAATCTCCAGAATCTCTACATGTGAATGTTTTTCAGTAAATTTTTTTTGTTTTTGTCCAATTCCGTGTGAAATTTTGGCTCGGCATATTTATATTAACATTTTGCATATAAATACACCTGCTCATTTTAAATTTATCAGTTAACGTTTATTTTGGACATATGTATCCATTTTTTCAAATTTATTTTATTATAAGTGAACCATATTTTTATTTGGTGACTTTTGCAGCAATGCTAATATACAGAGGCCCACTTCATATGACAATTTTATATACAAAGATAACTAAAGTGTATGTATGTACAAGTTGGTATACTTCTTCAATTATATTATGAGCTAATGGCTAATGTAATAATGAATGCCATTTAACCATTAAAAAAAATTGTTGATAGATTCCAATGTTGGAAGTAGCTATACATAAATCCTTGATATGAATTTATTTACCAGAAATATTGTGAAATACTTTTTGTTTTTAATATAACCCCTGAAAATATCTCACTGATCTACTGTATCACATCATTAATTTTTAGTTGACCTTTACACTTTGACATTAATCATGCAGGTGTACATGTTCAAATACGACTCAACTCATGGCCAGTTCTGTGGAGATGTAAGAGAGCAAGATGGCAAACTGTATGTCAACAACAAGCCAATCAGCGTCTTCCAAGAGTAGGTTCCTCATGACAATTACTTTTAAGATCCTTACGTCATGTCACCTAGTTCAATTCTTAAAGATTCAAAAGAATAACATACAAGCCAACCAGAGCTATGGTTTTAAAAAGAAAATTGTGCCGTCAAAATTACCCAGAGATTGCTAGCACAAGTATATCAGCATTTTCCAAGAGTAGGTTTCTCAAGTCATGTACTGTATACTGTAACTTTGAAATTCCCACTTTGGTTTGATAGATTGTTTGTAGAGATTCAAAAGAAAGATGTTGAAGTCAATCAGAAAAGTTGTTTAAAAACAGAAATTGTGCTATAGAAATTACGATTTATCCAGAAGTAAAAAAAATTGTAAATGCATCATTATATAAAACAGGTCATATCCCGCAAAATACACAATTTTTTTATATACAAAACAAAGCCACGTTGGGCATGAACAGATAAAGAAATTGCAATTGCAGTGGTCCCAAGTCTCTCTGAATTGTGGGAGTTTTTCTGGAAATTGGCACGGTTTCCCACACTTCTGTGAACAATTAAATCATCAGAAACAATCAATCTCCCTAAATTTCCTGTTTTTTGCATGTTTAGATGATAGATCACAAATTTAGTCTGTTTGCCATCAATGGGTAGCACCATGCAAAGTATTTAATTGTAATCAGATGTAAGGATCTCATTTAACCAGTTCTTTCAGGCATGGCTTTGTCTATTAACTTGGAACCACTGCTGTTGATGAAAATGTGTTGAAGACATCATAGTGAGATGGAGGTGCATGTAAAATCGGGAATATATGCAGTAATAATTTTTTTGGAGTTTCTACTGCACAGCAACATCTCCCAATACGAGCCTCCCAATTACAAACCCTCGATTTTACAAACTCAAAATTGCAGCGATGACGTCATTACAAACAACTTTTTTTAACTACAAAAACATTTAAAATTGTAATTAAAAGTTTTCAAAATAATATAAACTGTTATATCAGCTAAGAAAAAAAAACATTTAAACCAATAAAATGCCAGGAAACTTTGTATAAAGCAAGAAATATCGATCGTTTTCAGCCGAGAAATTCCATTTTAAAATTAATAATAATAATAATCACTTTTTATAAAGCGCAAATTACAATTTAGTCTAAATTTTTGTGCTGTGCATGCTTGTTCAGGATAGAATCACACTTTTTGTTCATTGGATGGCACTGTGACTGATTCGTGATCTTCATGAAGAGAATAACAACACTTGTTTTTGCTATTATTCACGGAATTGAATATTTTGCTTCACAGTGAGTGCAGATAATTTTGGCTTCTGTACAGGGTTATTTTGTTGCAGAAAACTGTAAAATGCAAGTCATGTTTAGTGACAGAAATTTGCTCCCATGGCAAGGCTTAGGGGCCTATTCATACCTAGCCCTGTACTGCTGTATGTAGCATAGGCCTAGGCCCAACCTCACGACTGAGATGCTATGAAAAATTTGGGTGAGTTGAGTGGCCGAACGGTAAGGCAGGGGCGCAGCTAGCTACAGCCTTAACATCGCCGCTGGTTCCATCTGCTTCTTGGATAAGGACTTCAAATGGAGGTCCAGTGTATACATCTGGCTCGTGTGCACTTTAAAGAACCCATTGCATCTTTCGGAAGAGTAGGAGATACCCCGATGTTATGGTTCACTTTAAAGCCCATTGCATCTTTCGTAAGAGTAGGATATACCCCGATGTTATGGTTCATTTCAGCCCCTCTCGCTGTGGAATGATGTGAACATACAGCAGCTACCATGAAGCCCCTATTTACGGCTGCTAGGTAGTCACGGACCACACCCACACGCAATTCAGCACAATAACGCTGCAAGTTATGGGTTATTCTCCTAACTTCACACTTGCCTTACTTTAAATCTCTTTTTACTCTCTGGATTCCAGACTTTCTCGTTTATGAACTCTATTTGGACAGAGGAGTACATTAATTGGGAGACGTTACTGTAATTGAGAATTTAGCAAACAATTGAATTAGCATTTCTTTTTGCACTCAGGACCAATCCAGCACACATCCCATGGAAGGAAGCCGGGGCCGAGTACATTGTAGAGTCCACTGGGGTGTTCACCACTACAGACAAAGCCAAGGCTCATTTTGAGGGCGGTGCTAAGAAAGTGATAATCTCTGCACCATCAGCCAACGCTCCAATGTTTGTCATTGGTGTCAATCATGAGCAGTACGATAAGAGCATGGACGTGGTGAGCAATGCGTCTTGTACCACCAACTGCCTTGCCCCTCTTGCAAAGATTATTGATGACAACTTTGGCATTGAGGAGGGACTGATGACAACTGTCCACGCTTACACAGCCACCCAGAAAACTGTTGATGGGCCAAGTTCCAAGGTATACATTCTTAAAGCTTATATTGATGTACTACTGTTGGTAATTGTTCATTCCTGCTGTATTTCAACCACAAACAAATGAAATTAAATGGTAAAATGTAGGTACATACAACAAAGTCAAGCAAGTTTTCCTAAATAGCTACCTCTGAAATGGAGGAACATATCATTTCTCTATTTTCGTGTTACTTTTCAAGTAGGATTATTCCCCTTAAATGGTCCAGTGGCGAATTAAAAGGGGAGTGGGGGTGGGGCGTGCTGGCCAGGTCCCCCTTAAATTATTAAAAGGACATGGGGAAAAAGGATAATTTTAATCAAATTTTTGTCTGATAGTGCCATTTCCGGCCATCTGGAAGTAGTGCCATAATAAATAATGTGTGTACCTGATCAGCCCTAACCATAGTGGATGAGGTGGTATAAACTTTCCATCAGTGAAAGTCCCTCTTCTGCCCCCCCCCCCCCCCCTCTATTTCAAATTTGGGATCCGCCTGAACTGTTTAATTGAATTTGAAAGAATTTTTGCTTCTTGTACCAACTTTTGCATCATTCTTAATGTACACTTGTGATCCATCATCTTTTGTCTTCAGAAATGGCGTGATGGTAGAGGTGCTCATCAAAACATCATCCCAGCATCTACTGGAGCAGCCAAAGCTGTTGGCAAAGTCATTCCAAACTTGAACGGGTAAGGCAAACAGATTTTTTAATGGTAGTAGGAGGACTCATAATTGTATTTTTACCAGTTTAAAAATGGCAGATATCCACACTTGTGTGCAAAATATGATGTGATTTGCACAAGTTGAATTTAAGGTATTTGCATACTAGAAAACAATAAGTTTGTAAAGAGAACATGCAGTAGCGAAGCCCCGGGCCCCAAGTTCAAACACTCCCCCTTCCCCAGTCCTACTAATATACAGTGCTCTTCTAACAGAGTCTTGACCATATGGTCTAGTAGAAGACACTAAAAACTAGCAAATTAAAAAACCTAATCCCAGGTTTTTAAAATCATAAATGTCCTAGTTGTCCCAGCGTAATCCCACGTTTTTTAAGTCAAAAATGGCCTAGTGGGCATTATATAAAATATCAATTCCTCACCCAAAATGGTTACAGCCGGGCTCCCAACTACCAAATTGAAATTTGAATAGTCCAAAATAATGAGGCAAATGACTACTGGAATTCACAAAACTTTTCAATATATCCAGCTACTGTACTGTTTCATATTCTATAATCTACTGTCAAGGTCCCCTCCCTCACTTTCATGACACCCATAATCGATTACCGTAAATGCTTGAATAAACGCTGCGGCACTTATAAAATTTTTGGAAGCTTCAGTGTGGTGCTTATTTGAGAGCGGCGCTTATAAAAATAAATATTGGCGTGGCACTTTCCA